ACTAATGAAATCTGAAGAACAAAAGCAAATTAGAAATCTCTGTTCTTTAGATAACAACAATTTATTAATAAGGTTTACTAATAACCTTATTAACAACCAGTGTACCATAGTAGTGTAAAGATGTGCTGTGTCTGTGGCAACCCTTTGTATTATTGCTACAACTTTGGGTGTAATACACTAGGAATTATGTCTTTAAAATAAAAAGCTAACTAGGAATAAAAAATAAAAGTAAGAGACCAGCATCTCATATTCATGGATTTGACCTAAGCTTTGTATTTGAAGAATATTGTATGGAAGCCGCCAAATTCAGAAAACATTCAGAAGAGCATTAAGTAGATGTCTGCCTACTTTTCCGTAGACGCGGATCCTCAAAGTTCGTGGAGAATTACCAATTATTCCTTATTGATATATTGATAATATGCTTTCTCTATAGCCAATTTACCCACTAAACAATGGGTAATTGTAATTTGGGTGATTGTTTGGATATATTGATAAGGAATAACTGGTAAAGATTATTTTTCACTTTTTAAAAATTGAGACTGGAAAATAGGATAGATTTAATCATATTCTTTGTGACCTCAGGATTTTGTTAGGTTAAACGCACAACTGATCTGCGTGAGGACTTTCATCACTCACTTTAAACCATTTTTTTTATTATTATTAAATGATAGCTGTATACATTAATGCAAACATGGGGTACAGTGTAGTGTTTTCATATACATTTTGAAATTCTTTAAAGTAGTTCTTCGAGGGTGATGAGCTTGTAATCAAGGTTAAAATAATAATAATAAAAAAACTATTCGTCTAATAGTGATTTGAAAAGTGGCTCTCCTTTTAAAGTGCCATTATTCTTAGCGAAAAGCAAACAAGTAAACATAGCCAGTTATCTCATCAGCAGAGTCTAAGGAAAGCAAGTCAGTGCCTGATTATTCATGTGAAAGAAATAAATCACAATAGTCTTCTCCTGGTGCTTGTCTGAGTTAGAGAAATATGGTCTTCAATGCTTTTAGGTTAATTAAACAAGATTATATTAAAAGCTAATGGGTATTTTTCAGGAATGAAATCCTTATACTCACCTGAAATAGCAGAGCAAAGCTTCCACAGGGCATACTTCAGAAATACCTGCGGAAAGTCTTAACTCAGTAGTTTCGGGCTGGCTGGGCTTTGTGAAAAGCTCTCTGGTGCTTCCTGACAGACAGCTTGAGGTGAAGAAGGCTGGTGTGTGGAGCAGGTGTGCAGGCTGAGGTGTTACTCTGCTCCTCCTCTGCAGAGTGCCTGCACGACCTACATCAACAACAATCCCATTTCTCCCCCACCCCCTTTTTAGGTTCCTGTTTTTTCCCTTAACAATACACAGATAAACTTAAGCCCTTTTACTCAGTATCCTTGTCCAAAATCAAATTATCTGAATTGGAAAGAAATGTGGAATTATTTGCATTGCTGATTGGAGAGTGAACAAATTCGTCCAGGCAGAGTCTGGGTAGCAGCAGCTGCTGGCTAATCCTTGTATCCGGATCGGGCTGGGTAGGAGACTGAGTGATGTTGGCACCACCACACTGTGCCGTGCCAGCATCTGGGCCTCTTTGCTGTTGCTAGCGTCATGCAAACCTCGTCCTCTGTGCTCCAACTGCAGGCCTTCCCCTGGGCGCTGCGCCTGAGAGTTGTTGGTGAAATGTCCCATTCTGTACAGTTCCGTACAGTCACCTCTCAGAGCTCCTTACTAATAGCTGCTGTGAGAGAGCCTGTCACATGGCAGTCACTTTTCTGGGCACTTTATATCGTCTTCTTTAATCATCATAATATTATAAGATTGCTATTATTATTGTCATCCTTTTATTACAAATAAAAGAACTGGGTCTCAGCAAGCATAAAGTAAGGTAACCAGCGAGGCAAAGTGACAGAGCCAGGATGTGACCATACTCGGTCTAATCCTCACATCTTTGCTCTCTTAAGTCGCACAGACAAACGCTACTTAAATCACGCATCATTTTGTGTAAAACTAAGAAGTACTTCTACATGGGAAATACTAAAATCTATTTGAGTACAGTGAAGATGGAGGGTGCTTCTCTGTGTCAAAACAGTTTTGAAATCAGGTAGGGGTAACAGAGTACGTTTGTCCTTGTGTTTGCAAAATAACGCCTAGTTCTAATTGAGAAAACTGGCTTCAGCATTACCAGAAAAGAACCAGAGAAATCTGAAAGTGGGGAGATGACATCGTGATTGTTAAAAGTAAGGGCTTTGTGGCCTGCAGTCCTGGCTAGCACTCTGGGAGGTTGAGGCAGGTGGATTGCCTGAGCTCAGGAGTTCTAGACCAGCTTGAGCAAGAGTGAGACCCCATCTCTAAAACTATCCCGTGGCAGGTGCCTGTAGTCCCAGCTAATGAGAGGCTGAGGCAAGAGGATTGCTTGTGCCCAGGAGTTTGACAACCCGTATGACCCCTGGGTTGACAAAGTAAGAGTCTGTCTCAAAACAAACAAACAAAAATAGGCCAGGCTTGGTGGCTCACCCGTGTAATCCTAGCATTCTGGGAGGCCAAGGTGGTAGATCACTTGAGTTCAGGAGTTCGAGACCAGGCTGAGCAAGAGTGAGACTCTATCTCTACTAAAAATGAAAAACTAAGGCAAGAGGATCCCTTGAGCCCAAGACTTTTAGATTGCTGTGAGGTGTCACCCTATGGCACTCTCCCCAGGGCAACAAAGTGAGATTCCATCTCAAAAAAAAAAAAACAAACAAGGACTTTGGGCTAGGCATGGTTTTAAATTTGAGTTGGTGCTTATGAGACATGAATGTGGGCGTCTTAGAAATGGGGCCAGTGGTCTTGAAGGATGTTATGAAGATTAAATGAAATAATAGAGGTATCGATTTAGGCTAATGCCTGGGAATGGTTAGTGCTCACCAATGTTTGATCAGAAAGAATCCTGAAAGACTAGTTGACAAGGTTGCATTCAGTCAAGGACTCGGTAAGCTGGAAGGTGAGGGGCAGCCCAGAAGCAGCTGGATTGACCCGCAGTCTCGCACAGCCAAGACCCTGCAGAAACCAACAGGGCACCTTTTGGATTAGTTGGGGCTGTGATTATGCTGGTGCGTAATTATCCCAAATGTAGTAACAAACTATCATTTTACTCTACTCGTGAATTCTGGACTTGGTAATTCATCCTGGACAGAGTGGGGTCGGCAGGTTTTTGCTCCACCATGTCCGTGACCTCAGCTGAGAAGATTTGAAGACGGGAGGTGAATGAGTGGGGTGGAACCATCTGGAAGGTTCCCATGTGTAGGTGGTGTGTCTCTTGCTGGGCTTGGTTACTAGAGGCCGGCCC